AGTAGCCAGATAACACACACACACACACACACACACAAAACCCTCAAGTTTGAATCCTACTCCAGATCAATGAAATCTTAAATGTTTTTCCCATCACCTTATATGAGCTTAAGTCATTAGTTAGGTTTTAACCATGGCAGCTTATTAGAATTATCTGATGACATTTTTTAAATGGTGATGCTCTTGCCAGCAGGAGTCACAATGGCTGAGGTGCTGGATTCCCACATGACCAACTGTGGTTCAAGTCCTGAACCTAGTCACTTACTTTCTCCCTTTTTTTCCTCTCTCTCCCTTTCCACTTTCTGATCCGTACACATGTCTCATTGCAAATGTTTAAAAAATAATAATAAATAAATAAATACATTTTAAAGGAATTATTTTATTTTATCGTATTTATTATTATTATTTAATTTGGCCAGAAAGAGAGAGAAGGGAAAGTAAGAAAGCAAGCCACCAAGTCTGGGACATAAACCACAGTCAGCCATATGGGAGTCCAGTGCCTTAATCACCACACCACCTGCTGGCACTATTAAATAAATAGTTTTTAAAAATTAAAAAGAAAAAAAAATGATGATGTTCAGCCTAGGTCCTAGATCAATTAAATCAGAATTGCTAGAGCTGGTACTTAGAGGTCAGTAACCCAGGTTAAGAATAGCTAAGGAACCAGCAGATGATGCAATGGTCACATCACTGGACTCCCACATGACTGACAGTGGTTCGAGTCCTGAACCTGGCAGCTTGAAACTCACATTGGGCATATGTGCGTGCATGCACAAAATCCCGATAAGAGAATGGAGAAGGGATTATAGTGTGGTCATCCCCCTTGGGGGGTGATTTCTCACTTTCTGTCTGACTCTGTCTCTCTGGCAAGTACATGTGCCCTATAGCAAAAATCTCTTGGGGACCAGCAGATGGTATAATGGTTATATTGTTGGACTTCCACATCATCAAATGTGGTTCAAGTCCTGACTTGAACCGGCAGCTTAAACTCACACCAGGCATATGCGTGTGCATGCTCAAAATTCCAAGAGGAGAATGGAGGAAAGGGATGGCAGCGGAGCCATCCTTCTTGGGGGTTCTCACTTTCTGTCTCTCTGTGTCTCCAGTGAGCATACACCCTATAGCAAAAAAACTCTTAAAATAAAATAAAACTCTCTTAAAAAAATAGCTAGCTCAGGCCAGCAGGTGGTGCAGTGGTTAAGGCAACGGATTCCCACAAAGCTGGGGTTCAAGTCCCAAATCTGGAAGCTTGCTTTCTCTCTCTCTCTGTCTCTCTTTGGGCAGTGCCCAGCCACTACAGCAAATTGAAAAATAAACATATAAATAAAATTAAATAAATAATTAATTCATTTTTTAGAGAGAGATTTTTGCTATAGGGTATGTGTGCTCACTGGAGAGACAGAGAGACAGAAAGTGAGAAATCACCTCCTGGGGGGGTGGTCACACTGCAATTCCTTCTCCTCCATTCTTCTCTCAGAATTTGGGGCATGCATACACATATGATGGGTGTGAGTTTTAAGCCACCGGGTCCAGGACTCAAACCATGATCGACTTCTGGAAGTTCAGTGATGTAACCATTATTCAATCTGCTAGTCTCTAAATAAATAATTCTTTAAAAAAGAATGGCTAGCCTAAATGAAATGAAATCATTAACTCTATTGTTGCCATTTTTTTTTTAAATCTTATCCAGCAATAAGTGACCAACTGACAATGGAGAAATTAATTCTGTTAGAGACAGCTGACCATACAGTGAGGCAATCAAGCCACTTGGAAGCTTAATTTGGAAATACTTAAATTCTAAATCATAATTTGTAATGAAATGCTTTACAAACAAGTGCATTGGAACACTGTATTGTTTGCAACACTGAGGATGATATAAAAGTTACATGTTTAGAAACTAGAAAATTATTAAACATACCATAGTATTATACAATATGGTTTTACTTGAAGCAACTGAAGTGACAGACCTCCATATCTATGTGGACAATTTTCCACAAGGAATAAAAAAGGAGAGTTTCAAAACAGCAACAAGCAGACAGGCAAGCAACAGCATTTGGCCTAATAGTCATTGTTTATAAGGGCAATAATTTGTAAGCAAAACCTGTTCAATGAAAGGGGCTTGGTGAAATAGCAATGTCACTAAAACTCAAAGTAAAGATAAATTAATGATAGGGGCAGTTGTCTTTTTATATTTTGGAATGATAAAGTTGTATTCCAGGTCAGTAGCCACAGTATGACCACATTTAAAAAAGAATTCTAGGGCCAGCAGGTGGCATGGTGGTTAAGGCACTGGATTCCCATGCAGCTGACCATGGTTTGGGTCCTGAACCTGGTAGCCTGCTTACTCTCCCTCTCTCTCTTTCAAGTCATATTGAATAATAATAAATAAATAAAAGTATATAAATAATTTTTTTTTTTGGAGAGGTTTTCGCTATAGGGCGCGTGCGCTCGCCAGACAGACAGAGAGAGACATAGAGACAGAAAGCGAGAAATCACCCCCCAGGGGGGATGGTCACGCCGCAATCCCTTCTCCTCCATTCTCCTCTCGGGATCTTGGGCACGCACGCACATGCGCCCGGCGTGAGATTTAAGCCACCGGGTCCGAGACGCGAACCGCGGTCGACTACGTGGGAGTCCAGCAACATAGCCATTACGCTAACTGCTGGTTCCCTATAAATAATTTTTTTTTTTAATTACAATTCTAGGGGCCAGTAGGTGGTATGGTGGCTAATGCAACTGGAGCCCACATGGTCAATTGCACAGTTCAAGTCCTGGACCCAGTGGCTTAAAAAACACGCTGGGTGTGTGTGTGTGTGTGTGTGTGTGTGAGTGTGCTCCAAATCCCAAAAAAAGAATGAAGAGGACTGCTGCATATCCATCCCACCCTGGGGGATGCTTTTTCACTTTCTCTCTTTCACTCTGTCACCATCTCTCTCTGGCAAGCACACACACTCTATACCAGATTTAAAAAAAAAAGAATTCTAAGTATTTGTTTTAACAGTTTGACAGTAGTTACCACAAACTGGTAAGATTAAAGGCAACCCTTGGGCTTTTTCTTTATGCTTCTCTTTATTTTTTAAATTTGTTAGTATAAGAAGGAATTATTCTGTAATGAAAGGAATTTTTAAAAATACAGCAATCTTAAGATGGTAAATGTTTTTGTCTTGACTGATATGCATGGTATTCCTTTTGGAAAAAGAAATGTAATACACTATAAAGTTATATGTGTTCCAATGTAATATAAACTAGATTATGATAATAAAAAATGGATAATAATAATAACATAATAATCTAATAATAATAATCTAAAAAATGAAAAAAAAATACAGCAATCTTCAGAAAAGAAGTGACATACTCCATCAGGTATTCAAAGCTGTTTTTTGGTGTTTTTTTGTTTGTTTGTTTTTGTTTTTTTGAGAGGTTTTTGCTATAGGGTGCATGCGCTTGCCAGGAAGATCAGAGAGACAGAGAGACAGAAAGCAAGAAATCACTCCCAAAGGGATAGCCACGCCGCAATCCCTTCTCCTCCATTACCCTCTCGGGATCTTGGGCACACACACACATGTGCCAGGCATGAGTTTAAGCCATAGGGTCCGGGACTCGAACTGCAGTCGACTAGGTGGGAGTCCAGAGACATAGCCATTACACCATCTGCTGGTCCTTGGTATTCAAAGTTTTAAAAAGAAATAATCTAGACATGATACAGGTAGAAACATAGAGACATAGATCAAAGAACTGAAAACAATTCAAATATATAATATAAATGATTGAAAGAATATATCACCAAGTAGGAGAGTAATGTAAGAGAAAATGCAATAAGTTATTCCTGAACAAATGATATTGTTATAATACTGAATAAATGAGAAAAAAATTGAATTTATATATGAAATACACAGCAAAATAAATTTAAAATGAACTGCACCAAAAGGCTATCTATATAAAATAGTAGAAAGAGTAAATACTGGTTCTAAAGGAATTACACTATAGCGAGGGAGCAAAACTTGCATATTAGATCCTTTGGGAAAAACCAAAAGACTTTAGTTAAATAGTTATTGTTGTTGTTTTTTTTTAATTACTTATTTTTGGGCCAGCAGGTGGTGTGATGGTTGGAGCACTGGACTCCCACGTGGCCAACCGCAGTTCGAGTCTCCAAATTGGCAGCTGGCTTTCTCACTTCCCCTCTCTCTGTTGCTCTCTGGTAAGCACACATGCTCTATAACCAATTAAAAAATAATAATAATATAAATAAAATTAATTACATAATTCTTTAAAATATGTTATTTATTTATTTTACTACGGGGCACATGTGCTCCCAGAGAGATAGAGACAGAGAGAGAGAAAGTAAGCCACCAGGTCTGGGACTCCAACAAAGGCTCACCATGTGAGAGTCTAGCGCCTTAACCATCATGCCACCTGCTGGCCCTTTAGTTAAATGTTTTTACTGTAATTGTTAAAGAGGTCCTAAGAATGAGAAACAAATAAGAAAGGAAGTGAACATTTATCAAACACCTGATGTATAACAAGTATTGTACACATATCTTATTTCAATCTCAACAATATTGAAACAAATGTATTACCTATCATTCACTGGCTCAACAGCTCACAGGTGGTATTGCTGAGGTCAGAAGTCACATTTTCTGATACTGTAGCCATGCTCTTTATACCATATTACAGAGAGAGCAGCGTGGATAAAATAATCTGAGAGATGACTGATCTTTTCCCAGTGGAGCCAGTATTAGAACCAAAGGGCTAATAAGAATAGATAAGAAAGATGTGGAGGCAGAAACTACATTAATAGAACATAGTGGGGAAGAAAGATGAGGGACAAAAAAGAGCAATTAAAAACAAAATGTAATGGGGGGGAAAGTAAAAGATATCATACAAAATAGACTTGACTAGATAGGGTATTATTAAAACAAAAATATTAAACAGTAAATTTAGGAGCTTTCCACACAGCTACAAAACCTGGTCACCGTCACTGCAGCCACTCGCGGCACCTGCCCCAAAGAAGTCCCAAAGTGAAAAGCAGACCTATTTGGAAGTAACGAGGGAGATGCATCTAGAAGGCACCACTAGATTCTGTCCAAAGGAAGAAAGACAAAGTGAGCAAACATCTTTCAGCGATCAAAATTCCAGGTAACACCAGCAAGGGGGGGGGGGTGGCTTTTGCAACTCCTTTCACAAATTCATTAAAAAGAAGTAAAATAGGGAACCAGCAGTTAGCGTAATGGCTATGTCACTGGACTCGCACGTAGTCGACTGCAGTTCGTGTCCTGGACCCGGTGGCTTAAAACTCACACTGGGCGCGTGTGTGTGCGTGCCCAAGATCCCGAGAGGAGAATGGAGGAGAAGGGATTGCGGTGTGACCATCCCCCCTGGGGGGTGATTTCTTGCTTTCTGTCTCTATGTCTCTCTCTGTCTGTCTGGTGAGCGCATGCACCCTATAGTGAAAATCTCTCCAAAAAAAATAAATAAATAAGTCCAATAGATCAGAATGCAGGGGAAAAAACTAGTAAGAATCCCTCAATGGATCCTTCATCCACCAAACAAGATTTCTTCAGAAACCAACTTGCTCTTGCAAATTAACCTTGACCAAAGAAAAGCTATGTAAGACAAACTTAAAGTTGTACCGTCATTCTCACAGCCTCCCTTCCAAGATGATGTGATGACAAAGAAAAAAGGAATGACAGCCCTCTGGCCCCCAGCCTTGTGCAGACTATTCAATGCACAAACGGCGCCCTATGCGTGCCCAAGGACAAGGGTATTAAGTTCGTCATTCAAAACACAGTAGAGGCCGCAGCCATTAGGGACATCTCCGAAGCAAATGTCTTCGATGCCAATGTGCTCCCCAAGCTGTTTGTGAAGCTACATTACTGTGTGAGTCGTGCCATTCATAGCAAGGCGGTCAGGTACTGATCTCATGAAACTTGGAAGGACCCAACACCCCCACCCCAATCTTGCTGCCCCTTGCCCTCCACCAAAGCCTATGTAAAGAGCTGAGTCTTTAAGGCATGAAGAACTGTCCTCTGGGATATATATATATATACATACACATATAAATCCCTGAGGAAAACTAACATAAATACTTACACATGAAACTAAGTCAACATACAAGACATTGAAGAGATGAAGACTACTCTATGTCTAAGACCAGGGAGCCAGCAAGTGGTATGGTGGTTAAAGGTGCTGGATCCCCACATGGCCAACTGTGGTTCAAATCCTGGACCTGGTGGTTTGCTTGCTTTTTTTTTTTTTTAGAGTGTTTTTGCTACAGGGCACCTGCGCTTGCCAGAAAGACAGAGAGAGACAGAGCGCGAGAAATAACCCCCAAGGGGGGATGGCCACACCGCAATCCTTTCTCCTCCATTCTTCTCTCGGGATCTCAGGCATGCATGCACATGCCCCTGGTGAGAGTTTAAGCCACTGGGTTCAGGACTCCAACCACAGTCAACTACATGGGAGTCCAGTGACGTGGCCATTATGCCATCTGCTGGTCCCCCTGGTGGCTTGCTTTCTAGCATTCCTTCTCTTTCTCTGTCTCTCTCTGATCAAACTGGAAAATAATAATCATAAATAAAGTTAAATAAAATAATTCTTTTTTGAAAAAAAAAAAAAAGACCTGCTCTTTGAACCTCAACACTTGGGAAAAGGGAAATAAAGACGTTTCATATCATTACAGAAAAACAACACATTTGGAGGAAAATAAAAACAAAAGCAAAAAAATAAATATGCATAGCTGTGTCTAAATTTATCTAATTTTCACATCCTCCACATCTAAAAATGCGGAGACTAAGAATAAAAGAAAAAAATTTAAATCACGCATAAAGAAATAGAGAAGACAGGAGTAGAAAGATACCATGTATAAAGAAGTGTTTACCCACAGTTTTGCTTTTCAAATATTGTTACCAATAACCTACTTATTGGCTCAAAGTTCCCACATATTATCTGGAGCCCAAGAATAATTTGAAAAAAACTGAAAGCCATCTTTCTGTTCAACTACAGTCTGAAGTTGGAGGTTGGAGGAAAGAATAAGGCACATAAAAATAAAATCCAAATTTTGGAAGATATCAGAAAGAATTTTCAAGGACCAGCAGATAGCATAATGATTATGTCATTGGACTTCCACATAGTCAACCATGGTTCGAGTCCCAGACTCAGTGGCTTAAAACTCGTGCTGGGTGTGTGGGTGTGCATGCACAAAATCGCGAGAGGAGAATGGGGGAGAAGGGATTGCATTGTGGCCATCCCCCCAAGGGGTGATTACTTGCTTTCTGTCTCTCTGTCTCTCTTTGGCGAGCACAGCACTCTACAGCAAAAATCTAAGAAAAAAAATTTTTTTTCAAGTCATTTCTAATATAACCTGGTTGTTCAAGTTGCATAATTTTGGCATTTAATTTTTCTAGTAAAGTTGCTTCTCTTAAAACAGAAAAAAAGAAGATAGAAACTCAATATAAAAAAACCAAGGCTAGAGGCCAGCAAGTGATGTGGTAGTTGGGGCGCTGGACTCCCATATAGCTGATCACAGTTTGAGTCCCAGGCCTTGTGGCTTGCTTTCTCCCTTTCCCTCTTTCTCTCACAGTCCCTCTCTGATCAAAAAAAAAAAAAAAAAACAGACAGAGAGAGAGAAAAT